TGCCACAGGGTCAATCATATCCCCCTGAGGAAGCCATGTGACCCTGTGGCGCAACACATAGGGGAGAGGGCTTGATGACGTCATGACGCTAGCGGTCTGCCAATACACTGATACTACACATCAGGGAAGTGGAGGCTACCTGTATATACTTATGAAGGGTAATTTTGGATCCATATGTGCATAAATATCAGGTGCGATTGAGCACCTACACAATGTGAGTGGCCATTTTTATGTTTTTAATAAAGCAGTGTGTTTAAAGGATAAAGCACTATTGTGTTTTACTCGGTTTTTCTGACATATGCATGCTGAGTGGAGGAGAAAAGATTAAAGGGACCGGTCACTACTGGAGGAAAATTCTATATACAAGATATACCCACCATTATATGTCTGCTTCAAGGGACACATGCGTTTTTTGACCTACCTTTATGTGAGGTCAAAAACTCCAGGTGAGGGCACATCTGGTGTTTGTGTGGTGGTGAAGTTTTAAGAAGATATAGAGCTATGGAGTTTTTTTGAAACTGAAGAAGCAACACTATTAAGAGACTTTGCAATTAGGATTGTTCACTATATATTTCATTATATTTGTTTGCATTCACATGTGTTTTTGGGGCATTTAAAAGGAAGTGCGGCACTATATGTTTATTTATTTAGCTGCCATCTTAGCCTCTGTTTGATCTGTTGTTGCTATGGTGCTGCACGTGATAACTTGTTTTTTGAAACCATTAAATTGATGGGTTTAGTTCCACTTTAAGATTTACATACTTTATTAGTCTCACTCTTGCCATTAGATTGTCAGTTTATATGTGATACAATTAAAAACGAGATCAATAAAGTGCCTGTTACTAGGGTAAAAGAAAAAAAAAAAAAAAAAAAGGAGAACCTGCATGAAAGCATCTTCTTATTCACCTGTCCTGCCGCTTGTTCCTCTGATCTAAATGATGTTCAAGAGCTACAGCCACTTGAAGAATCTTCACATTTAATACTTCCAGTAGTGTTGGAAGCTTGCGTTCCCAGCAGTGCACCGTGATTCCTTTGACTGACCCCTATGTCTCTACTGTGCCCTGTGTAGTGACATAGGGGCAGGCGAAAGGAAACTCAGATGGCAGCAGGAGACCAGACATCTAACACAAAGTGTATCCAATGCGAAGGGGCAAGGGAACAAAAATTAGAGCAATGATGTAGTTTAGCAGAATATACTGCAGAACTCTGGTTGAAGCTGAGAACCAGGGTTAGAAACTCTGCCATAGACTCATACCACTGGAAGCCTCAAAGGATTAAAAGAAACCAATATTAAACCAACCTGCCAGGTTTGTGTGATCTGACCCTGAAAATACAATTGCTATTTGCTGAGCTTGGAAATACTGTGCATTTTTTCTTATGATAACAAGATAAGTTTATATCCTGTTGTGACAGCTTGAATATATTTACCCCTTAACTTGTAATAAAAAAAGCAGATATACTATTGGAGGATAAAGCCCGAGCACACTGCGGGGAATACTGCCATTGGCATTAACATGTCACATAGTGTCCACTAATCATTAAGCAGCCCAACAGCAATCCCGATCCTACAGCTTGACTTAGTCAGCTTGGGGCATAAACAATGTCCAGTATCAGTAAAGATTCCACTTAAAAATCAGCTGCCATTTTCTCAAAAGTATCTATTCTAATCTAACCACTCTCAGAATACAGCAACATTTTCACAAATATTGTCATTAAAAGGTTCCCTTTAATAAGATATTGGCACATTACCTAGAAAGCTAAGTTCATGCAACTGTTTTCTCTCCTTTTACTGATTAAAAAATATGTGGTTATACACAGGTAGATATAACATATTGGGAGACTGATGTCTGCGTCACAAGAGCCCAGAATGGAGAACTCTGTCCAATGTTCTATCCATCTTTGCTGTATGTCAGAGGTGAACAGAGATCAGCCAGGTCTATGGGGCAATGCTCTATAAAAAGTAATGGGAGATCACTTGGCAAGTAATGCATACTGAATGTAAATGTTGTGTGAACTGGGAACTAGGAGTCTTTTATGCCGCTGATTGTACCATGTACTGCTACACTGTTCTTTAATGGATATTATTGTTAAGCTTTCCCAAAAAGCTGTAGTTGGGCTTTACATTTTTAAAAGTTCCTAAAACATTTAAAAATATTACATTTGTCTTTTGTATAAAACTAGTTGTTGAATTTATTGTCCCTTTCCTACATATATTATACAAATAAGTGCATCTTATAGAACATAAAATGGATATCAATGTAAATATTGTTTTTCATCTGTTGTAATCCTTACCCCCTATATTATTTATCTATTACACAAATTCTTTGAAGCCACCATTCTTCATGTAAGAGGCACCTATTCTCAGACCTATTCTGGGTAACACCTACTAAGGGTTGCATTTGTGACACTGCATTAAAATAGCAGTGGTTCTACCACTTCTGGAGCCACTATAGCTGAGAGTGAGCACTGACATATGGAAACATTAGGTGACATCAGGGCCTCTACATCTAGCTCTATCTACTAAAAAGTGAGAGCAAGTATAGTACCGCCCAGGGGCGGACTGACCATTGGGGAACTCGGGCACTGCCCGAGGGCCCGGGGTCAGAAGGGGGCCCCATGAGATGTCCCTGGTACCTTTCTCATGAGACCTCATTGCATGTTCATAGCGCACGTTTCTGCTGTCATTCTTCCTAGGCTGTATCTTTAGATATAGAAAGTAAATCAATGGTATCAAGTGCCTGATTATAGAAGGTTATTTTTCTCCATTACACTATCTCTTCTAGTTCCTTGGTTTCCACTTTAAATAGTTACAATATAAATTTTAATAGTGCATTTGTGCAGGACTTACTTTCCTCATCAGTGTTGCTTGCAAATACATCTTCCTAGCCCATCCGAAGGTGTAATTGCTGAATATTGAGTTTCCTCTATGTGCAAAGCTTACTTCCTGCTCTGGGGACTGGGCACTCTTCTCCCACCTGTTATCTCTTCAAGGATGGGTCCCCTCACTGCCTCTGAAGCAAAGTGAGAGGAACCCACCACTGGAAGCATTGCGGCCACCAATAAGAAGTGTCCATGTCATGCAGTCAGTGACATGGACGACCCAAGAAGGACCCAACAAGATGTAAACAGAAGAATGGGAGACTTGGGACCTGATTGTCACATGACTGCAGCTTTAGGTAAGTAAAAAGGAAATTTAGATTTTAGGGTTTTTTTTGCCAGCAATTAGTCAGAGAAGGGTGCAAGGGTGTAATTGTGCAAAATTGGGCTTTAAATGAGATGATATAAATGAGATGATATATATTTTTAGATAGTAAAAATAGGTATACAAGTGCTGGGTAAAACAGAATAAGCAGCTGGCAGAAAAGGTCAGCCTCCAACCCTCATAAAACATACATATTCAGAAATGCAGCGCTATTAAATGACATATAAAATGGTGACTTATATAACAACCAAATAAAATATAGATATAAATATAAACGTGTGCTGTGGAGCGCTACAATAAAGGTGCTAATAGCGTCTAGATATGACGCACAAGGTGCAATAGTGACATCCAATATTGAAATAAACGTCCAATAAATCAAAAAAGGTGAACTTCCGTGCTTCCAGTGGATGTGAGAATGAGTATATATTGCACTAACCAGATAGCGCAATTATTAGTGCATTTGAGTACATAAACCACACCCGGTCATCAGCATCCCAGAGGTAACCTCGGGGATCATCTGGTATACGTCCGCACATCAGCTGATCATCCGACTGCTACTCTCCAGATCTCCAGGATAACTCCAATCCAGATGTATATGGACCAAAACATGTACTAAAGGAATCCACCTTAAAATGCTTAAGTCACAGGGTGTCTTTGGTGCTCCTTCACTTCTTCCCATAGTCCAGTGTTTCTCAACTCCAGTCCTCATGGACCCCCAACAGGTCATGTTTTCAGGATTTCCCTCAGATGAAACAGCTGTGGTAATTACTAAGGCAGTGAAACTGATCAAATCACCTGTGCAAAATAATGGAAATCCTGAAAACATGACCTGTTCGGGGTCCATGAGGACTGGAATTGAGAAACACTGCCATAGTCCAACCCAGAAGTACTCTGTAAATGACAGGACATCTCTGACATCTGGCAGGCAGATCATAGCTTCTCTCTATTGTGTCCTCAGGAGGATCTTCACTCCACAGGCCAGCTCAGGTTCCATCCTCCTCAGCCACACGTGTGGCATTTTAAGGTGGATTCCTTTAGTACATTTTTTGGTCCATATACATCTGGATTGGAGTTATCCTGGAGATCTGGAGAGTAGCAGTCGGATGATCTTCTGATGTGCGGACGTATACCAGATGATCCCCGAGGTTACCCCTAGGATGCTGATGACAAGGAGTGGTTTATGTACTCAAATGCGCTTATAATTGTGCTGTCTGGTTAGTGCAATATATACTCATTCTCACATCCACTGGAAGCACGGAAGTTCACCTGTTGATATATTGGACGTTTATTTTCAATATTGGATGTCACTATCGCACCTTATGCGTCATATCCAGATGCTATTAGCACCTTTATTGTAGTGCTCCACAGCGCATTTTTATATTTATATCTATATTTTGGTTGTTTTATAAGTCACCATTATATATGTCATTTAATAGCGCTGCATTTCTGAATATGTATATATTTTTAGATGTTTAGCAGCTTTTGGATACTACATATACTGTACATCAAGTGTGTGGGCAGCTTATATAAAAACTCAAAGAATCACCCACTTATTTCCCTACTGCAAATATATCTACAGAACCAACAACACCAATACATTTGAGACATACAAAAAGAGGTAAAAGAAGGACACCCAAATTCTGGCTCTCAATACACAGAATATAAAAGGATGGCTGAAAAAGTGATTGATAATTACAGAGAAAACTAAGACTTAGTTCTCCTTTCACTGCAAGGAGAGACTGATTCTTCCTTACACAGTGAGAGATGTCACCCATAAATAGATTCCTTTGTGTTTCCTTTAGTGTCTCTTTGAATGAGAACTGCAATCACTGAGAGAGCTCACGTGAATTTTCTGCCATTCACCAAGTGTCCTTTTTTCTCGTGCCAGGCTTTGTTGGCTGAACCTTTTGACAATAGCGCCAGGGATTAGAGCCGCAAGAGCTATAGCCAACAGTGTCAGTAATGTACCCCAAGAAAACATGTCATCTAGAGATTTGATCTTCGATAAAATGGATCCTGTCTGGACACAGATGAAGTTATAAGGCAGCAGACCTGTTCAGTGTAAAAGACAAAGGAGGTTCAGGACTATTAATGTGTAAAACCGAACAATTGTAAATATACCGGTTATTATCAGTACATACCAATAAGGACAGAGAAGAAAAATTGCCCCACTGGGATGTTCAGAATGGGTGAAGACAAGTTCAGGAACCAATTAGGTGTCATGGGAAACAAGCGCAAGAAAAGGAGAAAAAAGAAAAGACTGCTACGATTCTCTTCTATCTAGAAAAAAGTAAACAGTATTTAACGAATCAGACATTCACATATTCTTAACATGATCAAACAAAATTCTGAAGGGAGATATTTTTGTGCTCTCGTGTATATTTCAGTGCCTTGTAAAATATTTTAAATTAGCGCAGCAGCTTGTTTATTACATAGTAAGCTTCTGTGTGGGAAGACACTGATGTTAACTGGACAGTGTTCTCTGCTAAAATTCTGCTGAATAAGTCAGAGATACATAAACAAATGTACACTGCAATACCCAGCTTATTGTCACATGATGAACTCTTTAGACGTAGTCCACCCTATGGCAAAAAAAAAGATGCACCCACATTGACAAAAATTAAAATGTGCATTTATTAATGCCATGCATTCAGGCCTGCAGACCAGTGCAGCTGACTCCAACCCCTAGTCTGTACTGACCTTCCGTTATACGGCTGGGGGAAGTCATGAATGGACGAGTGCAGTCATATCACCACACTCATGCCCCACTGGTGCCAGATGGGACAGATATTCTTCCATTTACAAATCTGCATGAACGGAGGCCATGGCTGTGCAGGTGGAGCCATGCACAGCCGCAGTGAATTCAAAAGGAAATCAAATGCTTCAGGGGGAAGAACCACACAATTCAGGTAAGTGGAAGCCAGTTTCAAATGTGGGGGGTTGGGAAATGTTACTAACTTTCAGGTTACACCTTAAATATAGGTGTAGCATAAAACATTCACAAAAGGTGGACTAAATGTGTAAAATGGTTACCCTATATATTATTGAATTTATAACACACACATCTAAGGGTCACTATACATGTTTTCCTTCACTATACATGTTACAATCTAACCATCATCTCTATATAATCAACTTTGGATCTACCAACATTTTGTAAAATGAAGACATACCTGAACTATCCATATAACGTGAGTGGTTCTAAAGAATGTTTTCCCCAGAGTTCAGTGAATTGGGTGAAGCTCTGCAAACTTTCATTACCCAATCATGTGCATGCAAAAATGCAGTTATTTATTTTCCTTGCACGTGATTAAGTATTGTTTGCAAAGTGAAATGTCACCATATTCAGTAAGCTAAGGCGAAAATCCCCTTGCAAAGTGAGCAGCTTTTTTTGCCTTTAGCAAATCAACCCCGTCCAAAATGGTGCAACATGAAGTACACATAAAAGAAAATCTCTACAAAATTAGGGGGAATTTTTTTTTTTTAGGCAGTTATCACCAGAACAAGTGTCCCTCATTGCTTGTCCTGGTGACATCCGTAAAATGTTTGATTTCAGAATGTTTTTTACCTTAATGTATTCTCTGCTTTAGGGGAAAAAACCTTATGCAAACAGCTCCCCTCAGCCCCCCTACATACTTATCTAAGCCTGATCTCAATCCAGTGATGTGTACAAGATCAGCGGCTCTCTTAGCTCTCTCTCTCATCATTGGCTCAGACACAGAAGTGGGAGCCATTGGCTCCTGCTGCTGTCAATCACAGCTAGTAAGGAGTGAGTAGGGGGTCAGGGCCAAGCCATGTCCTGTGTGTCTTATGGTCACACAGAGCAAGCACGTATCTGTGCTCCCATAGCAAGTGGCTTGCTATGGGAGCACTCAGTGGGGGGGAGGGGCCAGAAAGCTGGCAAAGGACCCAAGAAGAGGAGGACCGGTGCTACCCTGTGCACAACCATTGCACAAAGAAGGTAAGTATGTCATGTTTATTATTTAAAAGAAAAAAAAAAATCTCTGCCTATACAATCACTTTAATTTGTATCCAATCAGGCAGTCCCTTCCACTACATATTTATTAGTTTGCATTGGGTAATGCAATATTTCACTTTTATCACAGCTAAAGGGGGAACCTTTTTCCATGATGACAACTCCCTAAGAGGGAACTGTCCATCATTTTTTTTGGTTTTCCAAATGCTCCTGCCATGGACTAGGCATGCTGTGTGAAGCTTTGATGGTTGGCTTTGTTAGTGTGCCTGCAGTTGAAGGATGACACAAAACAGCTGGTTTAGAGAGGCAGAAAGTGCTGGCCCTCCACATTTTGGTAAATGTATAATCACATATGGATACGTACCTTTCTCTGCAGCATCAATACCTTCTCTGGAAAGTACATGACCACAATCTGCTTGCCAAAAGCATGAGAGAGCAGGTAGCAGAATGTCGCACCCAATGAAGTTAGTGTACAGCACAGAAACAGGCCATGCCACGGTCCAAACAGAGCTCCACCCAGCAGATTCTGCAGAGGCACAGGATAAAGCAGAGACAACTTACATGATAGAAGGACACAGTATAATTATAAATGCTACACTGTTAAACTGTTTTATACCACCCCCAAACCATGCTGATAGACATTTTTTTCACCTTACTGGTGGTGAAAGGGGACGGGGGTTGCAGGGAGCAGTGACAAGAAGCGTGACTCTAGTAAAATGTGTCTTTTTTCGCTGCAAGCTTTGGACTGATGTACAATGAAGTTTTCAATATAAAACATACAGAATAGTGTCTCCTATAGCACATTCTGCCTTTAAACCTGAATTATAGGAAAACTAAATTTGTAATATATGGGAATGGTTTTACCGTACAACAAATTTGTAACCAAGGTACCCCCTTGTCAGACAGTTGTCCCAACCTTCACTACAGCAGTAGCACAGCTTGGTCAAAAACAAATTTCCAGGTCTGCTGATTACTCAATGAAGAAGCAGCACAGTGACGAATGTCACTCTATCCATCCCTTTTTACTATCAGCTCTGATTTGCTGCTAGTTCTGACCTTCCCTCTCCTAGTCTGAGTGCAACTGCATACAGAAGTCTGGTATCAAAACAGATACTAACACTTGTAGCTGAATATAAACATATATTTAAGGTTGTTTACTAACTACAGAACTGCATTGTTTTTTTCTATATATTTGTCTGGAATTCAGCTCTATTTTTTTAATATAAAAACATGTATTATGGTTGCTAGATACAGTGGCTATAAAAAGTCTACACACCCCTGTTAAAATGTCAGGTTTCTGTGGTGTAAAAAAAATGAGACAAAGATGAATCATTTCAGAACTTTTTCCACCTTTAATGTGACCTATAAACTGTACAACTCAATTGAAACACAAACTGAAATCTTTTGTTTTTGGGGGGAAGTAAACATAAAAACCTACAATAATGTGGTTGCTCAATCCCTTAGAACCGGCGCCTCCCGGCCCTTTAAGGGTTTCAGAAGCCGGGAGGCGGGGCTTATGGCCATGTGACCGCGGTGACACGCCGTCACGATCGGGAAAGGTCCCGATCGAAAGAGGAGATCGGGACCTTTCCGTGAGTACCGGACATGTGTGCTGGGAGCGTGCAGGGAGCACACTCTCAGCATGGTTTTTTTAATACAGCGCAAATGTGCGGCCTCTCGGAGTCTAGGCCCAGACACCGGGAGGCCGCACATTTGCGTTCGGCCGGCGCCAACAGGTTAAGTGTGCACACCCTCTTATAACTGGGGATGTAGCTGTGTTCAGAATTAAGCAATCACATTAAAAAACATGTAAAATAGAAGTCAGTACACACCTGCCATCATTTAAAGTGCCTCTGATTAACTCCAAATAAAGTTCAGCTTTTCTAGTAGGTCTTTCCTGACATTTTCTTATTCGCATCCTACAGCAAAAGCCATGGTCCACAGAGAGCTTCCAAAGAATCTTCTGCTAGAAAGCTGATCATGAAGAGGAACTTCATCTTTCATCATGACAAGGACCCAAAGCATACCTCCAAATCAACAAAGGAATGGCTTCACCAGAAGAAGATTAAAGTTTTGGAATGACCCAGCCACAGCCCAGACCTGAAACCGATCAAAAATCTGTGGGGTGATCTGAAGAGGGCTGTGCACAGGAGATGCCCTCGCAATTGACAGATTTGGAGTGTTTTGGCAAGGAAGAGTGGGCAAATATTGCTAAGTCAAGATGTGCCATGCTGATACACTCATATCCAAAAAGACTGAGTGCTGTAATAAAATCAAAAGGTGCTTCAACAAAGTATTAGATTAAGGGTGTGCACACTTATGCAACCACATTATTTTAGTTTTTTATTTTTACTCCCTCCACCTAAAAATTTCAGTTTGTTGCTCAACTGAGTTGTACTGTTTATATAGGTTACATTAAAGGTGGATAAAGTTCTGAAATGATTTATCTTTGTCTTATTTTTTTAACATTACAGAAACCTGACATTTTAAGAGGGGTGTGCAGACTTTTTATATCCACTGTAAAGGGGTAGAGCTTGTCGGCCATCATTCCTTAAATACACCCCTTTATTCGCTGACTCTTACCAAGAAGCTGGATCCTGGAATAGCAAAAGTCTGCTTGTACAAGTACGCACTGCAGAACAATACAGTAACGTAGCCGTGGTGCTCTCTTTTATACTCATGCAGGAAGTCAGCTAATTCCCGTAGTTCATCTAAGTCAGAAGGGAAAACCAGGGACCTGCACCAACAAAAACAAATAGAAAATTAAATACATTATTTGAGTGTAAGTATACCTGAATAGCTTTGTTTTTTTTACTATTTAATAAAGTAAGGGAGGAATGGTACCCCCGGTTAAGTTTTTATTGGTCTCTGCATCTATACTGGTAGTGTACTAGATGCCACCTCATGTTGGCCTGATCAACATAGTCACTGAGACAGAAAGCAACAGGAAATCAAACATTTTACGGATGTCACCAGGACAAGCAATGAGGGACACTTGTTCTGGTGATAACTGCCTAAAAAAGAAATTCCCCTAATTTTGTAGAGATTTTCTTTTATGTGTACTTCATGTCGCACCATTGAGACAGGGGGTTGATTTGCTAAAGGCAAAAAAAGCTGCTCACTTTGCAAGGGGATTTTCCTCTTAGCTTAGTGAATATGGTGACATTTCACTTTGCAAACAATACTTAATCACGTGCAAGGAAAGTAAAAAAAAACTGCATTTTTGCATGCATATGATTGGGTAATGAAAGTTTGCAGAGCTTCACCCAATTCACTAAGCTCTGGGGAAAATTCACTTGCTAAGTGAACAGCCTATTTGCCTTTAGTAAATCAACTCCAGGATGTGAAGGAAAATCTCTCAAACAGGACACAGACAACAAACTTTTGGGTTGTAACCCTTCCAAATGTTAGCCAAAAAAAGGTTTTAGCTTTACATAAATTTTGAGTATCTTCTCACACTTATGTGATTTTCCTCCTGATTCCTTTTCCATTGAAATAAATGGAGATGCACCACAATGCATGTCAACATGTGTTGACAAATAATAGCGTGCATTGCTTGGTTGTAAGGCACATTCCAATATATTGTAGTTTTTATTGAATGTCAATGAGTGTAATAATGCATATTTTGGCACAGGGGCTGATTTAGTAAACTTGGAAAGTGCTAAATCTGGTGCAGCTGTGCATAGAAAACAATCAGCTGCTAGGTTATTTGTCAAAACTGAATTAAACAAGCTGAAGTACTGTCTAGTACACAATGAGAATATCTGATAAATGATCGTCCATTTTTTTTTTTTGCATGCTGGCCTCGTATTGAAAATGAATAGATTACTAAAGTTACATAAAATCTTGTAAGACAGAATACAACTTCAAAAGTGATGTACAGTATTGTATTGTAACGTATACTTGGTCCCGGTCACTTGATTTTTTTCATACAAATACTAATTACATGCATATTGTTTGTTCTGTTATTTTATTAAGAAAATTTTCCTGCTTGTCCCTTTGGATAGTTTCGCATGAACTGTTGTGATTTGCTCTCGACCGCTGTGTACTAACAATCAGATTATTGGACGATCGCCCTGAATGCATTTATTTTTGTCTGGTTTTCTCATTGTGTGTACCAGGCATTAGTAACTGATTGGCTACCATGCACAATTACACCAGATTTTGCACTCTCCAGTTTTAGTAAATTAGCCTCACATTGTCATGGGTTGACATCTGTCAAGATGTCCCTTATGCATACATAAGGCTGCAGGTTGGGGAATGCTCAGGTCACAGATGATTTGCCCATACAGGTGACCGCTTTCTGGAGGGCTCACACACATAGGTTTGGATTCTGCAAACTAATCATCAGGCACAAAGCCACCGAAGCAAACATGCACTCCAAAATCACATAGCTCTCAAATTCTAATGGCGGTACATTTTTTTTATTTTAGGGATTGCATACACTTTAATTCAAATTTGAAAACCAAACACTGAAATTAGAATTCTCCCAATAACACCACAGAATGATCCCATGTCTTGTATGCACTATGAGATTCCATAAAGTAAACAGTCAAGACTTGCCATGTTCCCATATGAGCCTTCTGCCCCCTCCCGTCTGATCTGAACATGTCATTCCCTATCTGATTTCACATACACACGCTTCTCCTAAACTTAGCTTTGGCCCGGCCACCCTGGATCGCCAGCATCACTTTCATGTCCAGGATTCAACATGTCACTTGATACATTTATTCTGGGGAGATCTGTGGACTTGTCAGCGATCCCACTTATTCCATCAATGCATTTCTAAATGTCTGTCGCTGCAGTTCATTAACCAGCCTGCCATTTGTCCCGTTATCGCTGGACAAAAACGGACTTCAAAATATCAGATGACTGTTATATCACAAACCACCTTCTGAAAAATAAGATAGATCAGTTTGTTTTTCTTTGTGATGGAAATCAGAGTTTAGTTTTCCTCTCTCTGTCAGTTCCTGAACCCTGACCTCATCCCAGATCTCCCTGGAATGGACTTTGACAGCAGCAATCAGAGTGGACCCTGGAGTGACCTGTGCATGGCGGAGGCTGAGAAGGATCCTGCAGGAGGAGAGAGCCCAGACTGACCATCAATACAGGAAATAAATACAGACAATGCCATAAAATAAATGTAGGAAACAGAGCCAAACTGGTAATAAATACAGACAATCCCATAATACAGGAAATAAATATAGACAATGCCATTATACTGGTAAATAAATACAGCACCAGATTACATCCAATTGATGAGGATTCTCAGTAATATTGGTATCAGTAATTGTTTGGATCAGTGAAGTCCCAATGGGAGGCACCCCATGACTCCCTTGCATTAACCCTCTGTGCCTGCTCCCACCCATTCAGCACCCACCTCTCGGCTACCTGACCTCTGCCAGGGCGCAGCCGGGTGCTCAGCACATACAGATAGAAGGTAGCGCAGCCTAGCACCAGGAAGAAGCCGGCCAGCGAGCGCATGATTGCAGTCAGCGGAGGACACCGCTCATACCGGAACTAATAACACGGGGCCGCTGAGCCCGGGGAAGCACAAGCTCAAAGGACAGGAAGTGAGGGTGGCGACTAGTAACCATGGCAACCAGCAGCTTCAGCGTCATAGGCCTGTCTGGTAATGATGGTTTTGTAGCCTAAGCTGGAATACTAAATGACTTGTGCGGAGTGTGTTACTATGTGTGGTCCTCCTCCATTGTACTCACCAGCATTAACCACTTCATGTCCGGACACTTTTACCCCCTTCCTTTCCAGGTCAATTTTCAGCTTTCAGTGCTATCACACTTTGAATGACAATTGTGCGGTCATGCAACACTGTACCCATATGAATTTTTTAGCATTTTTTTGAGACAGATAAAGATTTATTTTGGTGGTATTTATTCACCACTGGGATTTTTATTTTTTTGCTATGTAAATTAAAAAATCCAAAAATTTAGAAAAATAGTGTTTTTCTTATAAAATTTTGCAAATAATTAGTATTTCATCATAAATCTTGGCCAACATTTATTCCGTTATATTTTTAGTAAAACAAAATAACCCAAATTAGTTTTTAACCAAAAATTATAATTTTTAAACTTTTTTTTACATTTTTTTTTTATATTTGTTTTTTACATACTGTCACCCTAGCAGTACAGTGTCACCATGGTGACACTGTACTACTTGTGGGGGGTGATGAAGATTTTTTTTTTCTTTTTACACTGATTGCTTTTAAACCCATAAAGCAACCATTTCTCCTTCTCTCCAGCTGCATTCTTGCAGCCATTGAGAACTACTGAGTGAGCTGTGATTGGTCACAGCTTGTCACATGGTACAGGACTGTTGTGAATAGCCTTGTACCATGTGACCTCTGTGATCATTCACAGATTTCACACATAGTAAGCAAGTTCTCCCTGTGCATGCATGGGTTTCCTCCAGGTACTCCGGTTTCCTCCCACACCCCAAAGACACGCTGGTAGGTTAATTGGCTCCTGTCTAAATTGGCCCCAGTATGTGTATGTATGAATGTTAGTTAGGGAGCTTAGATTGTACACCCCTTGAGGGTTAGGGACTGATGTGAATGTACAATATATATATGTAAAGCGCTGTGTAAATGGACAGTGCTATATAAGTACCTGAAAATAAATAAATAAATTTTACCCATAAAGGATGTAAAAGCAATCATTTCTCCTTCTCTCTGGCTGCATTCTTGCAGCCATTGAGAACTACTGTGTGAGCTGTGATTGGTCACAGCTTGTCACATGGTACAAGGCTGTTGTGAATAGCTTTGTACCATGTGACCTTTGTGATCATTCACAGATTTCACATGTAGTAAGCAATGTCACAAGTGACATCTTGCTTACTACTCTGCATGTGATCCCTGATTGGCCAATCAGTGATCACATGATTGGGACCTCCTACAGAGGTCCCGTTCAACGATTGTGTCCTCATCCGGAGGACACAGCGGGCTCCGGATCGCGATGCTGTGCGCTCCCAGGGAGCGCGCACAAGCAGGGTGCGGGGAGGCCGTTTATAAACGGCCACCCGACCCTGCACTGCCACTGCCCGGCCGTTTATATATAAAAGGCCGGACGGGAGGTGGTTAAATAGAACTGCATGATATATACAAAGAAAACAAATGAGAGTTTGTTAGTTTTAAATGTTAAAAGGGAAGTAAGGGAAAGATTTTTTCTTTAAGTCAGGGGTCTTCAAACTTTCTAAACAAAGAGCCAGTTTATTGTCCTCCAGACTTTGAGGGGTAGGGCTGTGAACATTGTGAGTAGAAAAGATAAACAATACCCCATCATTGGTATTAGCGGAAGGAATAGTGCCCAATTATTGGTGGCAGTGGGTGGAATGCTTCATCCTTGATGCCAGTGAAAGGAATAGTGGCCCCATCATTGGCATCAGTGGAGGAATAGTGCCCCATCGTTGGTGTCAATGGGAAGAATAGTGCATCAGCATTGGTATCAGTGGGTGGAATGCTTCATCCTTGATGTCAGTGAAAGGAATAGTGCGCCATCGGTGTCAGTGGATGAATAGTGACCCATCATTGGTGTCAGTGGGAGGAATAGTGCACCAGTATTGGTATCAGTGGGAAGAATAGTGCATCAGGATTGGTATCAGTTGGTGGAATGCTTCATCCTTGATGTCAGTGAAAGGAAAGTGCCCCATCATTGATGTCAATGGAGCAATAGTGCCCCATCATTGGTGTCAGTGGGAGAAATAGTGTCCAAGGGCCAGATAAAGGCTAGGAAAGGGCCACATCTGGCCCCGGGGCCGCAGTTTGGAGACCACTGCTTTAAATAATACTCACATAGGTGGATGCAGCATCGTTCCAATGCTGCATCTGTCCCCTGCCGGCTCTAAGGGTGAGAACTCAGCGATCACATGACTGCTGATCACTGAGTTCTCATCACCTCTGTAAGCAGAGAGTAGTGACTGTTAGTCACCGCAGTCTGCTTTGTACCCACCCCCCATGCTCATTGGAGTGCAGGGTCGTGGAGAGGAGGGAGTAGCTCGCTGAGAGACTGAGCTAGGTGCTACTCCAGACTCTGGGGTGGATCCCGACCATATGGTCACAATCCTTCCTCAGCCCGCTGTCAGCTGAAAACAGGTCACAGGAGTGCAGAATGAACTGCACTCCTGTGATCCACAAGAGAAGTACAGCCAAAAGTGCTTTGGCTGTACTTCTCATTTAAAGTAGGTCTAGAGGCAAAACTTTTTCCATTTTGGATAGTAAGAGAGGGTTATAACCTCTGTCAGAATTTTTTCCCATTGGCGAGATTTACCTTCACTTCCTGTCCCATAGCCAAAACAGGAAGCGAGAGGAAATTCTTGCAAATTAAAGAAGAAATATAGGCAAAACCTTTTTTTTTTCATTTTGGATAAAGCAATTGAAAGTTATAACCTCTGACAGATTTTGTTTCACCATCTGTGTCCCATTGCAGAGATTTATCTTCCCTTCCAGTCCCATAACCAAACAGGAAGTGAAAGAAAATCATTGCAAATTAAAGGAATTCCTTGGGGACCCCCAAGTCAACAGACCTAGTGTCCCCATGGGAACATTTCACCTATATTACTTTTCTGGCAACAACACAACATATGAATAGTGGATTGGTGCTGCGCTACTCAGTGCATAAATATATAAATAAACAATACACATATAATGAATGTAATGAAGTGTATAAGATGAAATATACCCCATCCTCAAGTGTGAAGATGGAAAAATAATAAAACAACAAATGTAAAAAACAGCAACAGGTGTAAAAAAAACGTGGCCAGAACTACTTAACATAAACCATCCACATAGCCACAAAGTGTAACCAAAGGATCAGTGATAAACCAGTGAATGTGTGGTCAACAAATATATAAATAAATAAACAAAGCATGACACAGTAAATAAGTCCCAGAATACATGTAATTGTCCCAAGAACAACAGACACAGTGAATCTTCAGCACAAGCCGTGAGACATCCTGTGGTCACTGCAAACAGACAATCCTCCACCAGCTAGCGTGCGCGTTCACCTTTGGACTGCGATTCCCGCCAGAGGTCAAAAGGCATATAAAACACTCAAATGATGATCGCAATGAGAGTTGAACTCAGTAGTAAACAAAACAAGGACTCCTCTCCGGTAAAAATGGCAAGCACTCACAGGCGTAACTCAGATGTCCTTATAAGGATATGGCCATAGATCTCTTTCACCTCCAGTATCCCCACATGGAAGATTAAACAAGAAAACTTCCCATAGTGTAGTAAGTTAGAAGATTTATTGTAAAAAATACACCGAATAACTACTCACATTTAAAATTGGGGTCCGCAGACCCATAAAGGCAAAAGCACTGCAACAAACTACAGAAAGGTGTATGTTGTTGGGAGTACCAAGAGTCATCACACTTCCATCCTACGCGTTACGTCACAAGTCACGTGACTTCATCAGGGCTCGGAAGGTGGTGATAGAGGACTTCATATAAAGAGAGCCCACAGCTGCAAATCATCAATGGGGCGGAAGACAGCGGACATTTTCTTGAAGTACAAGCAGAAGGACTGAGCTAAGCAGAGCAATCGCTTATGCAAGAAACAAAACATGAAAAACAAATACTAGGACAGATCCGACTGATGTGGTACATATACCACACAGAGAAGGGGCATAATTAGACCCAAATAACATCCAAACATAAAAATAATTGAAAAAACAACATACTTACGATGGAACAGAACAAAAATGCTAATTCACATAAAATATATGAAAAAACACACACATATCTTGAGCAATTTGTGAGATGTATAATGATGGAATGATTAAAAATGGATGTATAAAAGTGTAAAACCAGCTGCAGGGGGTAGCTGCATGTATAGGAGGGTTAAACCCATAAAAAAAGGACAGCAGTCATGTACAAGAAAGTGAATAAGAATAAAAATAAATAAGTAAAAATAAGTAAAAAAATAAATAATAAACAGTGAATGACCATAATAAATATAAAATAAAAATAAAAAAGTAAGAGGGACAAGCTAATGGATGGATATACGGATCATAATATATATAATTAAAAATCGCTGATAAAACAATTAATATCAAACTCAATATTAAGTCCTGGGGGGCCAAAGTTTCTATAGTATAAATCCACTGTGATTCAGCCTGACTCACAATCTTATTATTACCTCTCCAATGGGGTTGAAACTTCTCAATCCCCCAAACAGATAAAGAGGGATCCTTGTCATGATAGGTAGTGAAATGCTTAGAAAGACTGTTTGGAATAACCTTTTTTAATGTTTTGGACATGTTCCCTCAGTCTTTTCCATAGTGGTCTTTTCGTTGTCCTGATATATTGTAAAAGCCACAAGAGCATTGGAGAGCATAGACCACTCCCACTGATCTACACGTAATAAAGTCCTTGATTTTAAATTATTAGTATTCCTTCTAACATTTCGGCCACAGGCATAACACCGTTTGCACAGGAAAAAAAAACATTCCTATTTAAAAAAGTGACCTGTTTGTTTTTCTTTGGGGGGTCCACCACATTTTTTGCCAATTTGACCCTTAAGTTAGGGGCCCGCCTGTAGGCAAACTTAGGTTGGGCTGGCAGAACATCTTTTAATTGTCTAGCCGCCCTCTGTAATGGCCAATATCTTTTAAAGATTCTCTCAACTTATGATGTACATTAAAATCCATAATAATGGGTGTTTTGTCCCACAGCCCATCTTCCTTCTTCCTATCTTCAATCAAACTTTTTCGGTCCAGTTTCACTCCATCTTGTATTACTTCCTCAATAGCACTAGGTTGATAACCTTTCTTAATGAAGGGTTCTCCTATTAATTTAGCTTGATTTTGGAAATCATCTTCATAGGTGCAATTTCGTCGTAGCAGAAAAAATTGTGCTTTCGGAATATTCAATAACCATGGAAGATAGTGGCAACTGTCAAAAGGAATGTAACCATTTCTGTCCACTGTTTTAACCGCCTCCCGCCCGCCATATAGTAATATGACGGACGCAAGGCAGTTCTCTCGCTCTGGGAGGACATCATATGACGTCCTCCCATTATAACCACGCATGCGCAGCTCCGGGAGCGCAGTGCGGCGATCGGTGGTGCGCTATGTCCCTCGGACACAGCAGATCACCGATCCACGGAAAGAGCCGAAGATGTCGTCTTGGTCATGTGATCAGCTGTGTCCAATCACAGCTGATCACATGTAAACAGGGAAATGCCGGTTATCGGCATTTCTCTCCCCACGAGCTGTCACGCTGACAGCTCGTGAGGAGAGGAGAGCCGGTAATTGGCATTCCTCGGAGGGGACATGTACACAGATCATCAGAGCACTGATGATCCGTGTGCCCTGATGATCTATGTGGCCCCAGCAGTGCCACCTGTCAGTGTCCATCAGTGCC